TTTTTATAGTTTTCTGTTTCTTTCTTCCATTGCTCTCTTCTTTCACCATAAGTTGGCTTTCTTCTGTGATATATTTGGATTCCTTTCTCTTTTTTTTTTTGCATATCTATTACTGTTTTTTATTTTTTTATTTTATTATGTTAATCACCATACATTACATCATTAGTTTTTGATGTAGTGTTCCACGATTCATTGTTTGCATATAACACCTAGTGCTCCATTCAGTATGTGCCCTCTTTAATACTCATCACCAGGCTAACCCATCCCCCCATCCCCCTCCCCTCTAAAACTCTCAGTTTGTTTCTGAGTCCATAGTCTCTCATGGTTCGTCTCCCCCTCCGATTTCCACCCCTTCATTTTTCCATTTCTGCTATCTTCTTTTTTTTTTTAACATATAATGTCTATTACTGGTTTTTAATTTGTGGTTACCATTAGGTTTGTATATATCTTCTGCATATACCAGTCTATATGAACTTGATGGTCACTTAAGTTGAACCCATTTACTCCTCTTCCCATCACAATTTAGGTATATGGTGTCCTACTTTACATACTTTTATTTTGTGAGTCCCTTCACTGTTTGTTTTTTTGTTTTTTTTTTTTACAGGTACACTTATTTTTACTGCTTTTGTGCTTCTTACTTTTCTTACTTAGGGTCTTTCCACTCAAAGAGTCCCCTTTAACATTTCTTGTAGGGCTGGTTTAGTAGTCATGAACTTCTTTAACTTGTGTTTGGGAAACTTTTTCTCTCTCCTATTCTGAATGAAAGCCTTATTGGATAGAGTATTCCTGGCTGCAGTTCTTTTCCTTTCAGCACTTTGAATGTATCATGCCAATCCCTTCTGGCCTGTAAAGTTTCTGCTAAAAAATCCACTGATAGCTTTATGGGGTTTCCCTTGTATGTAACTGTCTTCTTTTTTCTTGCTGCTTTTAAAGTTCTTTATCACTGCTTTTTGCCATTTTTATTACTATGTGTCTTGGTATGGACTTCCTTGAGTTGATTTTGTTGGGGGCTCTCTGTACCTACTGGATCTGAATTTGTTTCCTTCCCCAGATTTGGGAAGTTTTCAGATGTTATTTCTTCACATAAATTTTCTGCCTGTTTTCCCTCTATTCTTCAGGGATCCCTATAATGTGAATGTTATTACGCTTGATGGAGTCATGGAGTTACCGAAGTTTGTTCTCATTTTGCATAATTTTCTTTCTCTTACCTGCTCAGCTTTATTACTTTATGTAACTTTGTCCTCCAGGTCACTGATTCGTTCCGCTTCCTTTAATCTGCTCTTTATTCCATCTAGTGTATTTTTAATTTCATTTATTGTGTTCTTCATCTCTGGTTCTTCTTTTTAATCTCTTTGTTAAGGGTCTCACTGATGTCCTCCACTCTTTCAAGTACAATGATTATCTTTATGATGATTACTTTAAATTCTCTATCAGGCATATTATTTATCTCTTTTGCTTAGGTCTCTTGCTATGGTTTTGTCTTGGTTCTTTCATTTGGAACATATTCCTCTTTCTCATTTTATCTAGCTTTCTGTGTTTCTATGCCTCAGGAAAAGTTGGCTACATCTACTCTTGAAAGAAGTAACCTTATGAAGAAGATGCCATGTAGTGCCCGGCAGTGCAGTGTCACCTGTTTACCAGAATGTGGCGCTTCAGGGGTGTCTCCTATGTGTGTTGCATGTGCCCTGCTATTGTGGCCCAACTACTTTTTGCTTCAGTCCAGTTGTCTGCAGTGGCTCACTTTGCCTACTGTGGGCAATGTTTGATCCCTGTGGTGCTACTGGACCAGTCTGGGGCCATGTTGGGCTTGAATTGAGTCAAACCAGGCTTTTGCCCGAGATGCAGTAGCACCAAACTACACTTTCCCTGTGTTGTCCCCTGAGATGCTTTTGTTGGTGGGCGGGGCCTGCTATCAGACCAGCTGTCTGCCCCTGGCCCACTGTTGGGGCTATAGTCTAATTGGTTTGTGTGATTATCTTTTCCTCTCCCTAGGGTAGAAGTCACTTTGGAGTGGTGTTGGCCCCTGTCAGGGCTGCTTGCACAATGCCAAGCTTGTGGCCCTGGTCTGAATGGGCTCCGGCCAAAAGTGTATTGGTGGGGGTGGATCTACAACATGATCAGGGGTGGGGCATGCAGTAGGTCCTCTGGGAGAAGGGATGAGCCTCTGCAAGGACCATGGCCATCTGGGCTGATCAACAAAATACGTGGGCTGGGTGCAGTTTTAACAAATGCATACCAGTCCTCTGCTAGAGGGGATGGGCTGTTGCTGACCAAAGTTGGCCAGGGCCAATCTGCAAGTGTGAGTGGACAGGGCACACAGTGCCAACAAGTTTTGCATGCCAGTCCCTTGCTAGGGGGATGTGCCTCCAACACAAGGAAGGCCAGCTGGGCCTGTCTGCAATGCATGAAGGGGTGGGATGCACAGTTTTAACAAGGTGCCTGCTGGTCTTCTGCAAGAAAGGCCCTGCAAAGTGCACTGTCAGGAGATGTGGTATTGGCAAGGCTTTGCTGGTCTTTTGGGGGGTGGAAACCTGCAGTGCTGGACTAAGGCAAGCCTGGCTGGAGGGGGCAGATCCCCGAGGCACAGAAGTGGGCTGGGGAAATGGCACCTGCCAGCTCCTCTGTTCCTGGAGAAGTCTCCCAATGATCTCTGTCCCTCTGGAATATGCTCTGAGATTAGTAAATTATTCTCCCTTCCATATGCCCCAGGGGTTTTTCAAACTGCTGCTTCTATGCTGTAGGTCAGTGGGCTGTTTGTTGTGCTGTCTCTTTAAGTACACATACTCTTTTTCCTATAGCCCTAAAGGCTCTCCCAGAACCAAGCCCGCTGATTTTTAAAACTCCATGTTTTAAGTCTTGGTGGTTGTAAGAACTTACAAAATTCCATCCCTCTAGTTTTCAAAGCCAAATGTTATGGGGATTCGTTTTCCCCATGCAGGCTCCTTGGTGTGACAGTCTGTCTCCCCTCTCTGCACCCTCAAGTCCCTCCCTCCAGGGAAGTCCATTTAAGCTCCCCACTATCTCTGGCTTTCTTACACTCTTTGATGTGGCCTCTTCTCTAGATTTAGTTGTAGAGTTTGTTCTGCCAGTCTCTGGATAATTTTCTGGGTTATTTACAATGATGTGTGTGTTGCATCATGGGACAAAGTGAGCTTAGAGTCCTTCTAATCCACCTTCTTCCCTGGGATCCTCCTCTACTTTTTGTTTTTAAATAATGAAACTGATTAATGGCATGGCTAAAACTATACTACTAAGCCCAAAGCTTCCTCATAGGCTTAGTTAATTCTCTGAAATTGCAGTATATTTAGTATCTTGAGAGCTGATCCAAGAACTTTTTTGTGTCTCCTCCATACTTTTCTTTAGGGAAAACACAATTCAATGTTGAAACAGCTATCTCACAAACCCTACAGAGGCAATGACCAAATCAGTCTACCAAACACTATCTCATATATACAAGGTATGCAACAAATACTGATGAATTAAAACATTCTACTAAACTAATTCAAATTTTATCTTTTTTATCTGGGTTTTCCCACCTCTGCTTTGTTTTCTGTGATCATGCTTTAGATCTACAAGTAGCTCTGACAGACATTAATTTAGTCCCCTCGGTAGCACTCAAAATGAGTTGCCACTAGCTTCAAAATAATTTACATTTTAATTGGGAAAACTATTCTCTTACAAGTAGGAAATGTGGCATTAGAAGCAATGGGGGGGGGGCACCTGGGTGGCTCACTGGGGTAAGCATCCAACTTTTGATTTCAGCTCAGGTCATGATCTCAGGGTTATGAGATTGAGTCCTGTGTCTGGAGCTTAAGATTCTCTTTCTCCCAGGCGCCTGGGTGGCTCAGTTGGTTAAGTGACTGCCTTCGGCTCAGGTCATGATCCTGGAGTCCC